TTTTTGTTCTCCATTTTAGACCCTTCGATATGGCTTCACAATACTTCACAACCTCCTAACCCACGATTGACTCTGCAATACCCAAAAAGAATTTGTTTACCCGGCTTCACAAATGGCTTCAAACCTCTCTCCCTTCTTCATTGTTGACCCTTCTATATGGCTTTACAAAACTTCACAATCCCTCCGGTGCCATCATGGACCCCACAAGCCCCCTCCCCAAAAAACACACACACAGCCTCCACAAATGGCTTCCGTTCCAGAGTCAGAGAGGGCATTAGAATTTTTTGTACGAGCCGTAACAAAACCTTAGACCCTCCCTTTCCCTTAAAAGCGGTCAGCAATAAGTGAACGAACCCTAAATTTATATTATAAAGATATCAAAGTGATCTATAAGACCATAGACCGAAAAGATCAAAGAGATCAGAAAGAGATTAAAATGCTATCAGAAATAAAATTTGAAAAATTCTTCACAAGGACTCAAAAATAAACGACTCAAAATTCAAATAACTTAAAAAGGTCGTTTCTGTGGAAAAGTAAATTAGGTGCTCACCAAAAATGCAAAAGAAAGAATTGTACAGACCGTAATTACAGCGGAAACTCAAACCTCAAATAATCATTTTTATGTATCTCAAAGGACAAGATGAAATGTCCCTAAAATGTCCATAATGACAAGGAAAATTGCCTCTTAATTTAAAGAAAATTAAAGTTACCCAAAAAAATTGCCTGAAAGCTTCAATGCTACAGGTCTCTTGAGCATCAAACCACATTAAATGAATGGAACTAGGCGTTATATAAAAGTTTTTACCCAAATTAACATAACATAGAAAAATGCAAATGAACAAAAATTTTCTAATTTCAAATGTTGAGCACACACTCGAGCTTACCACGAGGCTTTCCACTCAAAATGAGTCAATAAATTAAAATAAATTTTAATTAATCTCATCGCTGTTAAATAAATTGAATGCTGAATTTGTTGCATAATTGAATAACACGCTAAATAAAATAAATTACAATTTTGTGTGATGGCTTTTTGTGTCTAATTTTAATTGCTGAATGGGAAATTTTAAGGGATTAAAATAAAATCTAATCAGGAAAATTAACTTAATTAGTAGTTTTGGGTGGGATACATGTGATTAATTTTATTTTAATGGATGTGTCATTTTAGAGGCTTTAACGTTTCGGAATATTTTATTTTTTTGCTAGATTATTGGGCTTATAGCTTGATGAAATAATCTTATAATTTGAATATTTTCATGAATTTTAATAAAATGTGTGAATTTTTGAATCTCGCCACATTTTATGATAAATAAATCAACTTTATTTGCCTAGTTTTATTTTTTAAATGTCAAAATATATCCTGTTGACCACATTTGCTTATGCTGGAGATTTATAAGCTAGAGCACTAAAAGTTTTATTCCACAAAAATATAAAGTGTTTTTTAAAAATTATTATTTTTGACCACAAGTTAACTTTACTTGTGTAAAATAATGAAATATTAAGTCAGGATTAATGCGAGACTCAAAATAGACACAACCAGAGCTCGAAGTCTACGTAATTTTGCATGAAGTCGAGTTGCCTTCACAATACAAAATCGATAAAAATTCTCGAGTCAACTTCGAGCTCTGGTCACAACCCCTAAACTTCATATAAGCTACAATTGAGCATAGCCATTTTTTTCATCAACAAACTTTACATTCTCTCTCCCTACATCCATCATTAATTAATGTACAAAAATTATTTATGGATGTAAATCTCATTAACTTCCTCTTCATCTCCAACAACAAAAAAAAAATATTTCCCTCATTTCAAAAAATATTTTCTACAATTTATTCTGAAGACTCTTGAGGTAAAATTTCCCACTCCAGTGTCGTTGATGTGACAGACAACAAAAAATGTGAAAATTAAAATCTGAAGTGCCCTCATTTTTTACGAGCCAGTCCCACATTCATTTATGCTGTTTTAAATGTCACAAAAGAATGACAAGAAATTAATTTTCGTACTTTTTCAAAAAAAAAAAATTCACTTTTGTCATTTCTAGAAAAAGAATTTGTTGCTGCTGTGTTTTGGGGGCTGTAAATTTCTCACAATAAAAACGATGATAATAAAAGAATCCTTGAACTGAGTAAAAGCATCATTGTTGTTGTGCTCATTGCAGGATCGTAGCTAGGGCTTTAAATGAGGTCGATTTCTTGAAATTAGAGTTTTGACAAAGTATGGATGGATATTAGGACGGGGTCTTTGTTAGAAAACAAATAGTCAGTGCTGCATAGTCTCTTCCAAGCTGTGGTACAGCAAAGACTTCCTCGTACACTCTCGAGGCCCAGCACTATCAACAACTGACTTGTCGCGGGTACGAAAAACTCTTTTTTATACAAAACAAGGCAAGCTAACCGAGGAGTAAGCCACAAATTTTGAATTTACCAATCACACTTGCCACACCCCTGGTTCTCATCTCCTTATGCAGACAATTAAAAAGGACCGAAGAATAAATGCAAAAAAAAAGCCGTCAACAAAACACAGAAAAACTTTTTTTATATCCATTTCATATGTCTCAGTATTAAGGCACAGAACGAAGAAAAATAGTTTGAAAAATATAAAGAAACAATAACTTGAAGAAGAGACAAAAGTAAACAACTTTTTTTTTTGTTATTTCTTCGTTTTACGCTCTTGAAACTTTAAATGAGCATTAAATTAAATGGGGAGAAATGTTTTGTGTAACTTTCCGTAGAGGTTGCAAAGTTTCGAAGGTTTTGTCGGTTTGATGTACTGTAAACAGATGTTTTGAAGCTAGTGCTGCTTTATGAGTGTGGTTTTTATGTCTAAATTGCTAGTTTTTGTTTGAAGTGTTCTAGTCACATTTAATTTGAGTTTAGTGGAAGTTGTAAATTCAAGAGGTTGATGACTTTTTGATATATATTGTGGATTTACAGTTGTTTAAGTGTTTAAGAAGCCAGAAGGAAGTTTAAGCGGTCAACTTTCACTTCCTCGAGTGAATATCAACGCCCTCGCCCGCTTCAAAAATTGCTGGCTAGGTTACTGACCTAAAAGCTGAAGATCAGCAATAAATGTGCTTAAAGAACTTGAATCACTCTTCAATGACAAAAGATAAGTCTACAATCATCAATTATAATTAGCACATGGTAGTAAACGGTCCGTTAAGAGTATATCACGTGATTAGTACCTTTTTGTCATTCGCATAGCAACTTAACCGCACTCTAATGGCCAGATTGTATAGCTTAGTATGCAAAAACTTAAATTTTCATTAAAAAATGCTAATTGACATCTTAAAACATTCTCAAAATATGCCACTAACCTTTAAAAAGCCATTGCCACCCATCAAAAGAGCATAACTCAATAAACAAATTTTTCTATAGGCTCAATTGAACATAAATGCTTCATTTAATCCGAAAATCAATACCCAAAAAAAAAAATCAAATTGTTTTCTCCAGTTCTGATAATCTTAATCTACTCAATTCCATTTTTATCAGCCGCACTTTATCATCACAGTCATAAATTCATCAAAACATTGAACCCCTACATCAACTCGACAAAACACTTTAAATGAGCGAAAATTGTAGATGAACAAAAAGACAATGAAAACATTTTTATTTGGATGTGGCTGTATAGTACGGATTCTCAGTGTCAATAAAACAATTTTCTCCTCATCAATAACCGATGTATATTGACTTGTACACATGGAGCAAAAGCAATAATGAAGAAGAGGCAAAAAAAATAAAAATGAAATTGTTGTGGAAAGAAAGGAATTTCTTTATGTCAGATTTAATTTGTTTTTCTTACTTCTTTTTGTTGAGCTATTCGTTGGATGTCGATATGTTGCTATTTTTTGGGGGTTTTGGGTGAAGCTTCTTGTTCTGAATATCAAGGTTGCGATACAGGCACCTCCCGAATGGCTAGAGTCGGTTAATCGAATAGAAATCCGGTGCCTAGCCGGTATGACTCTGGCATGGTGCTAGTTTCAATTTAAATCCAGCACTATGTTAGAGTGACACCAGCTTTGTGCCGGATTCCTGATTGATTAACCGACTTGTGCCATTTGGGACTGTGCACAGGTGAGAATTGTACAATTCTTTGATATTTTGTAAGGTGGAGTTTTCTCCCAACCTTCGAATGAGGAGGTTGTGGAATTGTGCAATACTTTTAATTAATAGGGAGGAATAAGTCACAAACCTACGGGAACTGTCTTCAAAGTAAAAAAGAACAAAGATACCAAGGAGAAAACTCAATCTATATCTAGAAATTCCTAGATTTACTAGGAATTACTTCTAAAAACTAAGAAAGTTTGGGCCATATTGATAGGAAATCTAAGGAATTTTTTTAGGAAATCGCAGAAAACTTTCTAGGAATTCCTAAGAAAAGTTCCTAGGAATTCCGTCTGTCAGATGACCTAAAAGCGCACATGGGCCTTTATCGCAACCCCGATCTGAAAGATATTAAACTTTTAGGTTGAGATTTTTTGGGAGCTTTATTTTGTTCCATGCTTGTATTTAAAGAGCATTAAAGATAAGAAGCGGCCATTTAAAGCATGTCCTCCCAAAGGAACTAATCATCTCCATGGTCCGTGCTCTTTATATATTAATGACTCAGATCTTCACTCTCATTAAAATTTCAACCAAAATTAATGCGTCTTTAAAATTACTTCCCACTCCCTTCTTAAAATTACTTCCCTGCTTCCTACTCTCAAGCTATAAATAGCCATGCACAACTTCTTCCAATTTTGTTGAATCCAATTTTTGTTAATTTTTTCTCAACAAAACATTTTTCTTTTCTCATTTTTCAAACAGATTCAAGACGAAAATTGACTGAGATGTGGAATGTTTTTGGCATTCAGCACAATATGTTTCAAGCGGTAATATGAGAGCATCCCAAAAAAAAGTTGTTGCTTATCAAAGTTGGTTCGTGATCAATAATCCTAGTGATAGTAAATGGATTTTGTAAGGACAACGATGACGTGTCAGTGAAGAAATAAATGAACTATTGTACAGGACTTAATTGAATTTCATTTCTGTACACGACCCCTTAAATAAAATGCTTATAGTCAATAAATCTTAAAGAAAAGCTGAAAAAGCTCTCAATTCTCATCACACCATCGATGAATTTATTTGTAGATCAAATAAAATGTATAATAAATGTATTAGTCTATGGATAATAGTGTTGACTATCATCATGACATTCTGCGTGAGCCATCAAAATCAGCTCGATGACGATAATAAAGCAAATTATACTCAAAACAATGGCGATGATGTTAATGTCGCTCAAACACAGAATCATGAGAATATCATGGAGTCATCTATACAAAATAATATATCAGTGATGGGAGATAGCACAAATTTAGGTGAGTATTCTGACTATTATGTAACATGAAAGGAAATGAAAATGGTTATAAGATTCCTGGCGCCTTACTTTATGTGTGTGTGAGTGTGCGTGCCTGAATAAAAGAAACATAAAGTAATTGTCAGAAATACAATTTTTCAATGTATCGCTAGGATATTATTACATCTCTTTTGTTTCCTCTTCTTGCTTACTTTCTCTTTCTCCTCATGTGATAGTACATTAAGTCTGAGAAAATAAAAGAAAAGAAACAGATTTTATGGACCAATGATAAAAGCTTTTTTAGCATGAGATTTGGAGGACATTTTATGATAAAATGTGTTATAGACTTTTTGAGTGCATTTAGGTTGGCTTGTCTTTTTAAAACCGATACTTATGTCAAGTTGGAGCTATTAAAGCTTTTTGAGTCAAGTTCAACCTTTCAAAAAAATATTGAGTCAAGTTAAATTTATTAAAACTACTTGAGTCAAGTTGAATGTATTAAAACTACTTGTGTCAAGTTGAGCCTATTAAAGCTACTTGTGTCAAGTTGAATCTTTTAAAACTACTTGAGTCAAGTTGAATCTATTAAAGCTACTTGTGTCAAGTTGAGTCTATTAAAGCTACTTGTGTCAAGCTCAATTTTCAAAGCTCCTTTGTCAAGTTAAAAGTATTCAAGCTACTTGAGTCAAGTTAAACTTTTCAAAGCTTATTGAGTCAAGTTGAATCTATTAAAACTACTTGAGTCAAGTTAAACCTTTCAAAACTTATTAAGTCAAGTTGAATCTATTGAAATTACTTGAGTCAAGTTGAATCTATTAAAACTACTTGAATCAAGTTGAGTCTATTAAAGCTACTTGTGTCAAGCTCAATTTTTAAAGCTACTTTGTCAAGTTAAAAGTATTCAAGCTACTCGAGTCAAGTTAAACTTATTCAAGCTTCATGGTTCAAGTTGAACCTTATAATAACTACTTGAATAAAGTTAATAACTAATTGAGTTAAGCTGATGCGAATAATTGTTCGTTGGATCAGTCTGAATAAGTTGGGAGCTTTTAAAACAAGGATTTGCAGATGAGCTTCATTTACACAATATTTCATTTAGACTTACATTGCCGAAACTTTAAACTCGAGTGTCACCTGCATTAGGTTCAATTTACATGGCTGCTGATTTCGTCAAATTTTCATTGCCAGAAGAATATGCAAAAATTAAGAATTCTTTTTCAGATACAATGACAACGACGTAAAGGAATTATGATTCTATATCATTTTGTTCCCATAATGACTACTTCCACTTATAGTGTACTGTAAAAATTTATAATAAAAAGAACAATGTTTTTAAATATTCTAAATTGAAGCTATGATTTATTTTTATTCAACAATTTCTGGTGTAACAGCAATTTTTATAAGTTTTCCTCTCCAAACATGCATCATAAGAATATCTTTCGATCCAGTACTTTCTGCCAAAATATCATAAACGTCTGAAGACTTTGTAACTTCTTGTCCATTGATACTTAAGATTATATCACCTTTTAAAAATAATTGAAATTACAGACTTGATTATAAATATACAAAAATAACTAATCTACATTGTAAATGAAACTCTTTTCTAATTTTCTTGTCTAATTTTTTTTTTAAATTAATAATCGACCCACCTGCCATTAAGCCACCTACAGCTGCAGGAGAACCACTTATAACCTTCCAAACCAAAATTCCATGTTGAATTTTATCAGGAATTGAAGATCCTCTCTGCTTTAATTCGTAAATAATATCAGGTGTTAAAGACAACATCGTGATTCCCATATAACGTTTACCAGAAACACTTTCAGGAGTTGTCTTGCCAGTTTTTAATCTTTCTTCTGCTTGTTTGAGAAAATTTTTAGCATAATCTATTGGAATCGCAAATGATATATTGGCAGTAACTTTCATTGAATTAATACCAATAACTTCTGAATCTAAATTAAGCAGTGGCCCTCCTGAATTACCAAAAGTAATTGCAGCGTCTGTTTGAATGTAATTAATGTCTCTTCCTCGCAATCCAAGTTCTTGCGATGGCCGTTGAGTACAGCTTACAACTCCTGTAATTGTAATTTTTCTTTTAAGTATACCGATTATTAAATGAACCAAGTACCTGCTGTCACAGTATTTGATAAAGATAATGGAGATCCAAGCGCGACAACCCACTCTCCAGCTCTTAAATCTGACGATTTTCCTAGCTTCATCGCATTCAGATTTTTACAGTTTATACGCACTGTGGCTAAATCGGATATAGGATCTACAGCTTCTACAAAACCTTGAAATGTTCTTCCATCATGCAATTTAACGGATACAATCGATCTTGGTTTGTTAATAACAACATGAGCATTTGTTAAAATAAGACCATCCGATGATACAATAAATCCACTACCTGAAATATGCAGTCAATAATGCAATAAAAATGAATACGATAAAGGGCCGTTCACTTAGGGGCCATTCACTTATTACGTAACGCTTTTAGGGGGAGGGGGCGGAAGTTGGTCGGTGATACATCAAGTTAAGTAAATAACATTGTTAGGAAGTGATTAAAGCAGTACATTTTGGTAAAACAGTTTTTGCGCTCAATTTTTCTTTTGTTCTATTTTTCTAGACTAATTAAAATTGAGTTAAGTTTTGTGGCTATGACTGAGTCTGCATTTATTGATCTCGACATCTCCGTAGACGAGCAGAAGGAGATTTGTGAAGAAATGAGACCAGAAGGGAATGGAAACAATCAAGATCCGGAAGTCTATAACCTCAGACATAAGTTTGTGAGAAAGAAGCCTAGTGGAGCAGAAATTCGTAGAGCTAAAAGTCTCAAACAGTCTGAAGATGATTTGAACGGTAGAACTAAGAGGCAACGGGATTCTCCTGAGACGTCTGAGAATAGCAAGATGACAAAGCGGCCTAAGGAAGATAAAAAATCTTTTAGGGACGTACTTCAAAGTATTGAAGTAATTATTAAGCCCGTTGATTATCCGGAAACCATAATTGATGAGAATGGAGTCGTGGCTCTTGAAAGGCATCTTCTCAAGAAAATTGACATGCTAAAAGTTGGTGAATCGGCACCTCAATTTCATCAGAGAAAGCTAATTGACGGGCACTGGAGGATAAAATGTATTGGTCAACACTCAAAGGAATGGCTCATCAAGGTTATTCAATTTGTGAGACTCAAAGGTTCTTTTTTGGAGCTTATGGATGTGGCTGATATGGCTCAGAGACCAAAATGTCGGGTTTTTGTACCTGGTGAGTGTAGTGTAGATTCATTAATTATGCATCGATTCAAAGTACAGAATCCCGATTTCGATTTACGCTCATGGCGCATTCTATCGAATAAAAGGCAATTTAATAATGAAGGAAGGCATATTATGGTGGAGATGGCCGAGGAAAGTGTTGAAGCTCTTAAAAGCAAGAATTGGTACCTTGCTTATGGACTCACTCAGGTAAAATTTCATTTGGTTGTTGTTGGAACGGGCGGCAAAAATGCCAAAACCGATTCAAATTCCAACACTACTACTAGTGAGGCCATTGAGGTCATGGATTGTTTGAGTGAGGTAGAGGATAAAGTTGATGATATCTAGGGCGGCATTTTGCCAATACCTAGCTCAGCCTTTCATAAGAAATAATCATAACTGGAAATAAATAATGCTTTGCATCAAATTTAATTTGAATCTATTTATTATGTATTGTGTTGTATTTTTTAATGAGGAACTTAGTGTGGCTGCTACAACTGTTGATTTTTATGAAGATTTGTCAAATTAATCTTCAACATTGCAAAGCAGCTGCGCTAGAGATCAGCAAACATTTTGACCAAGGATTATTTGATATAGTCCTTATACAGGAACCTTATATGAAGGATAATGTAGTGCACATTAAAACTCAAAAAGGAATTATTTTGTACCAACAAAATAATAGTAAAGTAAGAGCTTGTATTTTAATTAATAAAAATTTGAGGTACTTTGTGCTGCCTCAATTCACTGACACTGACGAGGTCACGGTTAAAGTATCGTTGAAAGATGAGAAGGGAAGTTTTGTGGAAATTGTTTTCTGTAGTGGATACTTCCCTTATGATTCGGTATATGAACCTCCAAGTAGTAACATCATAAGCTTAGTTGAATATTGTAACAGAAATGATTTGAATTTGATTGTTGGTTGCGATGCTAATGCCCATAATGTAGTGTGGGGTAGCAGCGATACCAACAAAAGAGGAGAGAGTCTTATGGATTTTCTGCTTATTAACGAATTAATGATTTTGAATGAAGGTAATGAACATACCTTCAGCAACAGTATCAGACAGGAGGTGATTGACATCACATTTTCGAATAGGAGAATATGCAATACTGTCAGTGATTGGAGAGTTTCGGATGAGCCATCCCTTTCAGACCACAGATACATTACTTTTGAGGTAATGTCAAGTGAATCTGCTGGGGAGGGTTTTAGAAACCCGAGAAACACTGACTGGATTGGTTATAAATGTAGCTTAATTGAGTATTTAAATGGTTTAACTAAGAACATTTCAACGCAAAATGAAGCAGAGTGTCTTTCTCATAATTTAAATGAAGCCATTTTAAAAGCTTACACTGATAACTGTAAGGTCAGTAGGCCATGTAAGCAAGGAAGATGTAATTGGTATAATGAAAAATTGGATAAGATGAGAAAGGCTGTAAGAAGAAAGTGGAATCAAAGCAAAAAGCTAGTAAGACAAGGTTTTAGTATAGCTGAAGCTTCATTGCGATCTGGCTATAAGGTTTCTCTATCCAGGTACAGTAGTTCTGTTAGGGAAGCAGCACTTGCTTCGTGGAGGAATAAATGTGAAGAGATTGAACGATTTGAGGACTGCGCAAGAATTCACAAATTAATGGCCAAACGTAATGTAAATACGACAATTGGAGCGCTGAAAAAGCAGGATGGAACTTTTACTCATAACAGCAGTGAAAGTCTCCAGTTACTCTTGAGTACACATTTTCCTGGGTCAACAATCGTTGACGACGCTTTGAACTTTTGTGAGCTGAGTACAGATTCGTCCAGCGATGGGTTATTGGCAAATGAAGTGGTTACTGAAGAAAGAATTGCTTGGGCAGTGAACTCTTTAAAGCCTTTTAAGTCATCAGGAGAGGATGGAATCCTGCCTGTGCTCTTACAAAGGGGTTTAGGACAGCTAATGCCTTATCTGCTCAATTTATTTAGGTACAGTTTGAACTCAGGGTACATTCCAAAATCTTGGAGGAGTGTTAAGGTTGTTTTTATTCCAAAACCCGGTAAAGACACTTATGCTGAAGCTAAATCATTTAGACCGATTAGCTTGATGTCCTTCCTATTAAAGGTTTTGGAAAAGTTAGTTGATCGGTATATAAGGGATGAAATTCTGTTAAGTAGGCCTTTGTCTAAGTATCAGTTTGCTTATCAACCTGGTAAATCGACAGATGCTGCCTTACATAGTATTGTATCTAGAATCGAAAAGGGTTTCTTCGACAAGGAATTTATGGTGGGAGGCCTTATTGACATTGAAGGTGCTTTCGACAACACTGGCTTCGATGTTATCACAAATGCTTTACACCGAAGAGGAGTTCCACAAAGTATAGTACAGTGGATCAGCAATATGCTAAGATCGCGAATCGTTCAAGCATCATTGAACGGGGAAATCGTATTCATCATAGTGAAACGTGGTACACCACAGGGAGGCAACTTGTCTTGTCTTTTGTGGTCATTAGTTATTGATGACTTATTGGTAGATCTAAATGGTTCAGGGGGCATCTTTGCCCAAGGTTATGCTGATGATATTTTCATTTTAGTAAAGGGCAAATTCACTAATACAGTATTAGATGTTTTTCAGAGGTCTTTAAACATTGTGGAAGGTTTTTGTGAAAAGGTTGGTTTATCAGTAAATCCAGCAAAAACAATTGTAATTCCTTTCACTACAAAGTACAAATTAGGAGAACTACGTCGTCCAGTTATGTACGGTCAAAGGATAGACTTCAGTTATGAAGCAAAGTATCTTGGTGTCTACTTAGACAGCAAATTAAACTGGAATTTGCATGTAGATTTCGTTGTAAGTAAGGTGATTAAGTCCTTCTGGGCTTGTAGATCAATTGTTGGTAAAAACTGGGGATTAAAACCCAATATGATGTATTGGCTGTATGAGCAAGTCATTCTACCAAGAATTATGTATGGTTGTGTTGTTTGGTGGCATAAAATGAAACAAGTTAATGCCTCTCAAAAAATTGAGAAACTGCAAAGAATAGCAGAATTGACAATTTGCGGTGCTTGGAAAACTACTCCGAAACTGGCTTTGGATAGATTCCTTGAGCTTCCCCCACTTCGAGTCAGAATCGAAGCTGCAGCTCAAACAGGCGCATCCAAATTGAAGGTTAATAAATTGTGGGTTAATGACTGGATCTCAACAGGTCACATGGAATTAAATCGGTTTCTAAGAAGTGTAAGTTTATTCACCTTTGAATCGGATCATTTAGTGTCAAAATACGTTTTTGACAAACCTTTTAAGGTAGTTGAATCAGAAGATAATGCTGCTGAATCTTGTGATTTGGTGGATAGTAATTGTATGTCTGTATACACTGATGCATCAAAGTCAGAAAGTGGTGTTGGCATCGGTCTGTTCAGCAATGAGCTGAGTTTGAATTCATCCTACAAACTGCAAGATCATGCTTCTGTCTTTCAGGCAGAAGTTCAAGCTATTTGTGAGGGTGCTAATTACTGTTTGGATATGGATTTGAAAGGCTGTAGAATTTGCTTTCTTTCAGATTGTCGATCAGCTTTGACGGCTTTAAACAATTGTGTTGTGAAGTCTTTAACAGTTCTTGATTGTATTTCTTGTTTAACAGCATTGGGGCAAGAAAATGAAGTCATCATAAAATGGATACCTGGACACAGTGGTATTGAAGGTAATGAAATAGCTGATCAATTAGCTAAAGAAGCAGTACACAATGAAGCTTATGACAAGTCGACGTACTATGGGTTTGGCTTGTTGAAGTCAAACATACGAGAATGGATGGAGAGACAGCATTTTCGTATCTGGAATTTAGAGGAAGGAGCCATGACAGCCAAAAGACTTCTTGGTCCTAAAAATAAGAACAAAATATCTGATGCTCTCAGACTACCAAGGAAAGATCTTAGCATCTTAATTGGTGCTTTGACAGGACACATGAGTATCAATAGTTTTCTTTTTAAATTGAATTTGTCTAACAGTAAAATTTGCAGGTTTTGTAAAGTAAATGAGGAAACAATCATTCATATTCTTTGTAAATGCAGAGCATTACGAGTACAACGTGTCAAGCACTTTGATAAGGATTACATAAATGACATTATTGGCTTCATCAAGGACATAGGAATTTTATCATAGATGGCTTGGGATGGTACAACAGATCATCGATCGCAGTGCCGTTTTTGCTCTGAGCAAAACCCTACATTACATTCTATCTATTAGGGGGAGGGGGGGGGGGGGGGGGGGGGGGGGGTCTAAGATTTTGTTACGGTTCAAACAAGGAAATTTTTTTTCATACAAATTTTGTTACGAGGGGGGGGGGGGTCTAAGAAGTCATTTTTTCGCGTTACGTAATAAGTGAACAGCCCCTTATGACGTCCGAATTTAACGGTCATTTTTATAAAAGAACAATGAATTTCCAAGAATTTCAATTGTTCTTTTCTTGCTGACCCCCCCCCCCCCCCCCCCCCCCCCCCCCCTAATATGGATTAAATTAAAATACCATTTGAAACGGTTGCAGGTTTTCCAGTCATATAGTCCATTCTTCGTGTATCTTGAATTTCGATATAGACCAAAGATTTTGAAGTTGATTCCACAACATCTGCGATAAAATTAAACTTTGTATATTTATAAATAAATATTGATCATATTATTAAACATCATGTGCTTTACTTGATGTCTCGGGCTGGTTTTTGTTGAAGCAGATACAGTTGGTGGAGATGGAAGGAATCTATTGAAGTAATCTTTAAAAGAATTATATCCAATTAAACCACAACATAATCCACAAGATAATAAAAATCCACTTTTAACATTTTTTGCCGAAAAATAAGATCCATAAAATCTTTTGTTTCTATTTACTACAGAAGTTGTAATTATAATTGATCTGTAAAGACTCATTCTGTTTACAATATTCCTATTGAATTTTGTTAAATTATTCATTTTGAAAAATTATTAAATTAATTCCAAAGCAAACTTTAAAAAATAAGTTTTTACTTAATAAGTGAAATATTATGTCAACATTAACTACTAAAGTGCATTTTAATTTTTAAATGCAATAAGAAACCTTTTAATGTATCTATCAAGAATCTAACCTTAAAAAATTATTCAGCTAAAACTTTATATTTAAATTATCAAAAGAATTTAATATGATTTATTTAACTAGCAATGACGAGACTGAGTGTAAACTCATAGTTTTGAATAAATGGCTAACATTTGAATTTTTCCAAACCGTTAACCAAACAGATAGTGTGTACGTTCGTATTTATCACGCAGTTCTTAAAAAGGTGACTTTTTTTGCAATCCTTAGGTCGCTGTTTAAAGCCTAGATGAAAATGATGATTTATGGTAAAATTTTCCATTTTCAAGTTTTTCCATGCATTTTCCGAATTTTTCACGGAGTTTTTTTATTTTTTTCCATACATTTTTCAATCAAATTTAACATTTTTGTCATAACTTTTGCATCTTTTGTTCTTTTGAGCTGAATTTGACATGTAGGTTCAGTATGTTCCTGAATATGGAACCAACGCCATTTTTGATTTCAAGGGTAAAAAACCCATGTAAAAGTTGATTTGAGTTTTCTTTTGAACGTTTCCGTTACCTTTCAAATATTTTTAAAACGTTACTATTCAATTAATTTTTGGGCGTTTTCTTTCAAAAAATTTTCTACTGTTGATTTTCAAATATTTTTTGACCGTTATTTTTCAAGTTTTAGATTTTAATTTCTTCTCGAATTCTGTGCGGTAAAATGCGCTTCAGTCGATCACGTGTGATCACATTTTTAATAGTTTTTTGCTTGTTATCCTTCACATTTCGCAAATGTTATTTTTTGTACATTTATTTGCACGCAGCAGTAAAGAATGACAATTGATTTTTTTCTTCTTATTGCTCTGTCCTGAAAAGAGAAAGCACTTAAATATACCCAGCGGGAAATATGTCTTCTTCTTCTCACTTCCAGCAAGCTACGTGAGGATTTTTCTCACAATTTTGTTTTTTTATTTGCAATTTCGTCTACGCGCAAAGAAAAAGCTATGAGATGATTTTAAAAGGACATAAACAATAGCAATTTATGCTGTTAAACTGCAGCTTTAAAAATTTTATGATTTTAATGCGATAATCTTGTACTTTGCGACTTTAATTGACTATGACGATTTTCAGCTTTTGAAGACTTTTTGAATTTAATCCACAAAAAGCTTCTTTATCAAATTTATGAAAGTTTAAAAAATATTTTTAAAAAAATTTAACCTTTTACTCCAAAAACGACAATTCCATTACAGCTGAGATGAGTCTGAAGTCTTAATTAATGATTAAATAACAAGAATTTCTGTTTGAGTAGCAAAAAAGAAGAGCTTTTGAACTTGAGATTCTTTTATGAGCTTTTTCAATTTAATAAATTAAAAGCTTTACCAAAAATTAAATTTGTTTTTAAGGGCGTTGAAGTGAAAGGGTTCTAATTAAATTTTAATTTATTTGAGTGCTTCTGTTTCGAAAATTTTTTGAGGTGGAAAGATGAAAAGTTCAAATTTAAGATGAAGAATAATTTGAAATTTAAAGAAGAGGAAAAAATTGAAATTTATAGAAAAAGCGACAAATTTGAATGTTATTTACGTTAAGTTAAGTTTTTTGAACTCCTGATTCAAATGTCGACAACATTTGATGCTTAAAGTCTCAATAATTCCCAAATTTTTAAACGATTCGTTGATGTTTTTCGAAAAAGTTCTTTGGTTGGTTTTAGAGCTGTCCACGCCAGGGGTGTAGCCAGGATTTTTCAAGGGGGGTTGCCCGGGCGCCTATGGACCCCCCTGGCTACGCCCCTGGTTCAAACTTTAACCAAAGATTCAAAACCCCCAAAAACCATCTAATGTCCTTTAATCACAAAACCTAATTCAGATATTAACAATTTCATAATAACCTCAAATTCCATATTCTCCACAAAAAATAAACTCTTCAACTCAAAACTTGTCTAATTAAATTAAAATAAATATAAAGAAGTGCTTTAAGCGTTAAAAAAATGTTTCAATTTTAATTGCAGGAATGTAGCATATGAATGATAAAGTTGTCATCATTTGTACAGAATTAACTTTTCATTACATTAACATACGGATTAAATTTATTACACAAAATTTCATTATAATTAATGTAATTGTACTTGATATTGTAACCGCAGTTTAACTTTTGATGATGTGCTTGTTTTTGTAAAAGTTGAACATTTGAGTTTTAATTTGGATTAAATTGAAAGTTTGAATATGCTCGAGTTTAGATAAATATGAAAATAACTAACCCATTCCGTTCAATGACTATGAATATTTAAACTTTCTTGCCAATATAAACCATAATTGTCAATTAAAAAACCCCAAAAATTTCTCAGTAATCAATCAGAACTTCTTAATCAATCCTCAAGGTTTTCCTACAAAATTTACATGTGGTATGCTTAATTTATCTCATCTCATTAAGCTATGAAAATGAAAATTTCAAAAAAAATTCAATATAAACTAATTAAACCTTAATTAAAACTATAAAACTTTCTAAAACAGCTTGAGGAGTCTAAACACACATATCATTAGCTAATGAGATTCAAAAACACTCAGAAAAACTTTGCCATAACCTCAAAAAAAAAATTTATGAAAATCATCGTTCAATTAATTAATCATTTTAGCTGAAATTCAACCTTAAGGCAGCAGAATTAGCAACATAAATTGAATTAAAATAATGTAAACTTTCATGCGATATCGTCTCTAAAATAGAAGAAATAAACTTTTCACCTTCATCATCATAAAATTCACATGTGATAATAAAACATTATTTATAAGCACATTCGCATTTATATGATATCTCATAATGTAAGATGTGAGATGTGTGGTGGGTTGAGGATAAAAAAAAAACTCATGAAAAATAAAGTTTTATTCTTATTGTATGCTTTCTACGAAACATTTCTCATCCTTGAATGTCTTTATTTATTTTGTTAGGATATTAAGTGCTTTTTTAAGCAGTTTGTCGCTCTTGCGTGATTTGTGGGAATTTGATGAAGTTGAGTTTTTTTTTTTTTTGATGAGGATGGCAATTTTTTGAGAAGAGATGCTAATGACAAGCTAATGGGCCGTTTACTTTAGACTTTTTAAGGAGTTTGGAGCTCCATTATTTTTGATTTGAATATTGGCATAGGATCTGGACCTGTTTGGTGCTAAAACTAAGGTCATAGCGGCACGAGCGTAGAATGGATTTTTCAGATGGGGGGGGGGGGGGTCAAATAATTTTTATTGTCAAAAATAAATAAATTCTTCTCCATTTGATTATTAAAAGATAATTTAAACGATAATTAAATTGTTCTTGCTTTAAACTCATTACTTTTGTTAAGTAACTACGAAATAAAGTTTAAAAAATTCAAAAAAGTTTGTATGAAATTTCATTTCAAGGAGGGTACCCGGTCGACCAATGACACCCCCCTAGCTACGCCCCTGCATAGCGGTAAAGAAGAAACTTTGACACTAGTGTCATCTGTTTGAGAATTCAAATCAATACAGTAATTCAGCTATAGTTGCAGTCTGTAACAGGTAATCACCTGTCAGTTACATGTTAAAAGACAGTGCCTGTGACAGGCAATTTTTTTTTTATTTTTTCAGATCTGTCACAGATCTGTTATATCGGTAGGCAGAATTGACAGATCTGTCACCTGTGTCTGTACGAGGCGACCTATATCGTATCAGCAGTGCCATGCTGAGACCCTCCAAATTGATACATAAAATGTACAAAATCTCATAAACTTCATCAATAAATACCTCTGTTCCTAAAGTCTGCTTAATATTGCTTTTTCCTGGAAATAGTAAATTTTAATAGTTACTAATTTTCAATTTAAACTTTTAAACTATTTTCAATCAGTTTGACATGTAATCATTCTCTGTTCATTCTTCATATTATAAATGATTTTGAAATTGTTTAGAGTTTACTTATTTCCCAAAATTAAATAAATGGCAACAACAATAATTATCTATTGACCATAATAAATTGAAATTTTAAACATCATCAAAATTGAAATTCTCTCAGGGGCCGTCTATAAATGACGTACTTAAAAAATGGAATTTTTAAATCCAACCCACTATTATACAATTTGCATTCAAAGATTATCAAAGCGATAGGCAGGAGGTGAAGATCAAAAATGAACAGATCAATCAGTTTTGAATTGTTTAAGGGAGAGGGGGGGGGGGGGGGGAGGGTCGTGTTCACAACCCCATTTTTTTAATAGAAAATTAGCACGAGATATAATTAAACTTTTTTAGATCCGAACCACCCCCTTAAAAGCCGCATCTGCCTACTGCCCTGATTTTAGGAGATTTCCATAAAAAATTCCACATCATTTATAAATGACCCCCTCATACAAATTACTCAATAGCTTTCATTAACATGTTGTAATAACATTTTGATTAAATGTAACAGAATTTTCAATAAATTGATTTGTAAATACTAAGTCGAAAATTATTAATTAAGCATCAAAATGTTGATAACAAGCTAGACAAATATTTTGTTGGTTAGAAAATAAACATTGAAATATAAATAAACCTCAGGGTTAGAAATGATTTTGTAACAACATCAAAATGTTCAGCTATTGTGTAAATGCGTCATTGTATCATAAAAAATACATCCTTGTATCCAAAAATGAAGCACTTGTCCTCGTCATGTTCTTTATAGAATTCTCAGATTATTTTATGCGACCTCAAAAAAGAACACACACACACTTTAATGTTCATGGTCGTTTCAGGAACAAAAAGTTTTTCTGCTTTTCAACTTATCTACAAAATAAATAAATCACAAGTTGAGAACGAAAAATAAAGTCAAAGACAAAAATATAAGGAAGAAGAAAGCAGGGGAAATTGTTTGATGTTTTGTATTTATCTTGTGTGCTTCATTGGAATTTTGAGTTATTATATTTATTGTTTGCCAATAGAATTAATAACTTCTAGGTTTGTTAGGATTAACTTCAATTTTCAATGCT